CCCCGCCCCCCCCCCCCGCCTGCTGCTCATTGGCTGCTGGAGTCAACGACGGCCAGACTCGAGGGCCATTGGGGCCCTCGCCGCGGTCCCGCCCCTCTCTCCTCTCCTGCCACCCCGCCCCCACTCTTTTCCCACCCAAGGTGTGAAGGGCCGGGGACTGGGAGGCGAGAAGGAGGGACGGCCCCCCTCCTCTTAAAGGAGACGTACAGGTCTTTGGAGACTGGGGAGTCGGGCCAGTGAGAGAAGGCTTAAAGAAATACTCGCTGGGTCTAGGGGAGGAAAAAGAGTTGGATAAGAGGGTGACGCTCCCAGTTTGGCGCTATCTGGCCTCAAAGTTTCTTCCCTCCTCCCAGACTGCAAACAGGACATCGGGTTTAGAACATACCCTCACCCATTTTCCAGGTGATGTCCAGGAGCAAAGACAGAACGAAAACTTGTCTTTGTTTTTCTGATTGGGGGGATCCTTCGTTATTTCATTACAGATGGCGCCCTTCCTCCTGAAGCTATGGAGTTGTTTCTGTTCATGACTGGCTCTCAGCGTCTTAAATCCAGCAAATTGATGACCAGAATGAACGTGGACAGCGGAAACCGAGTCTCAAAGATTCATCTCCTGTCCCTAGTTAGTTGAAGGGTTCTCCTAGAATTGCTCCAGACTTCCATGAAGGAGTTGGTTATTTCGTTTTGTTTTTTGAAATTGGAGCCTGTTAAAGATCATTTTCAAGAAGCCCTAGATAGGGAACCAGCAGTTAGCGTAATGGCTATGTCGCTGGACTCCCACGTAGTCGACCGCGGTTCGCGTCCCGACCCGGTGGCTTAAAACTCACACCGGGCACGTGTGCGTGTGTGCCCAAGATCCCGAGAGGAGAATGGAGGAGAAGGGATTGCGGCGTGACCATCCCCCCTGGGGGGTGATTTCTCGCTTTCTGTCTCTCTGTCTCTCTCTGTCTGATGAGCGCACGCGCCCTATAGCAAAAACCTCTCCAAAAAAAAAAAAAAAAGAAGCCCTAGATAAAATACAGCTAAGGAACAAGTCAAAATGAGATAATAGTTACAAGAAGCTTCTAACTTTGGCTCTTACCGGTCAATTCATAGTAGCCAAGTGTGCATGGAAACAGTAAGGCAGACACATGCACGCGGGCGCACGCACACGCGCGCACACACACACACACACACACACACAAAAAAAAAGAAAAGATTAGCACTTAGTACTGTAATATATAGCACCCACCCTGGGCCTTTTGGGTTGCTGGTGTCTCATATCCCGGCCCCTGAGAATGCAAGTTCCTAACGTATTTGCACACGTTGTCAGGAAAATTAAGCAGGTCAAGTCTGAAAAACATTTACTCCAGCACATTAACTGACCTGTGTTTTCTAGAAACGGAGGGGAAATGTTCCTCCTTCCTTTCTGATTCATTATGCTATCAGATAATGGTGCATTTTCCTTTCTTTCACATGATCTCAGCAGGGATGCCCAAAGAGGTACTCAGATATGTGTGTAAATCAATCCAAATATGATTCCCAAGAAACATCAGAAAAATCATGAGCCCACCCCATTCTACCCAGGGCTTTAACTGGCTTTCATGTTTCATTTGTAATCCACATAAACATACACCTTCCATTTTGACTAAAAGAAATATGTAGGTCACTTGGTGGTGTGGTGATTATGATGGCTGTATCCCACAGGATTGACAGCGTGGTTCAAGACCTGGATCCAGCAGCTTAAAAAACACACCGGGCACATGTACATGTATTCCCAAAATTCTAAAAGGAGGGATAAATGGGGAAGAGGTTGCAGCATTACACTATGGGGAAGTGCTTTCTTACTTTCTCTCACTCTATTGAGCACGCAAGCCCTCTAGCAAAATTTTTAACATTAAGAAATACATCTGTTGGGGGACCAGTAGTTGGTGTAATGGCTGTGTCACTGGACTCCCATGTAGTCTACTGCAGTTTGAGTCCCAGACCCAGTGGCTTAAACTCACATTGGGCGCCTGTGTGTGCGTGCCCAAGATCTGAAGAGGAGAATGGAAGAGAAAGGATTGTGGCATGGTCATCCTCCATGGAGGGTGATTTCTTACTTTCTGTCTCTCTGTCTCTCTCTGTCTTTCTGGAGAGCGCATGGGACCTATAGCAAAAACTTCTCCAAGAAAAAAAGAAAAGAGAAGAGAAAAGAGAAATATATCTCTTGGGACCAGCAGATGGCATAATGGTTACATAGCTGAACTCTTACATAGTCTACCACAGTTTGAGTCCCGGGCCTGGAGGCTTGAATGCTGGGTATGCGTGGATTCATGTGTGTATACATGCCCAAAATCCTGAGAGGAAAAAGGATTGTGGGCTAGCCATCACCTCTTGGGGGAGGGGTGTAATTTCTCACTGTCTCTCTTTCTCTCTGGCAAGTGTATGTATCCTTTAGTAAAATTCTCTCTTAAAAAAAAAGATATATATCTCTTTGTTTTATGTCTTTTGGTAAAAAGTAATAATAATAAGTGGGAAATGGAATTTAAGGAACCCCAAACTTATAAAGCCCTTTATGTCAGTGTTCAAGATTTTTGCTTAAAAATACACAGAAAAGTAATTTAATGCAGACTACCTATGATGATTTATTTATATGAAACTGCCAGATCAATGCCATTCCACCCCCAAAATAAAACAAATTCAACAAAAATACATTGCACTGACTGACCCTCTTGGGATGCTGACCTAATATTATCTTTCGGGTTTGTCCCATTGTTAGTATTGTAAAATAGATATTTATTGTAAAATGTTTTTCAAATGCTTACAGGTATGAGATGTTCTTTTGGAGTCCCAGAGTTTCTGGAGGGTAGACTATTAGAATCTGCAAAGTAAGGGTGTGCCTTTATAAACTGAAAGCATCCCCTGTGGTCTGGTTACCATGCAGCCAGAGAAAAGGATTCCAGGGTTGAGGAACACTTGGGGGGACGGGGCGTCTGAGCCTTGGCAGTTCCTCTCGTCTATAGCAAAGCATGAAGTCATGTCTGCTCCCCATACCATGTATGGAAGTTTGCCCACGTACGAGCAACCTGCTTGTGACTGCAATGAGCATGTGGGCTTGGAGAGAGGCAGTATCCAGCTCAGAGAGAATTCATCTGAAGCCACAACCCAAGATCAGGGAGACCTCAGCAACATGAGAGCAAGTTTCTCAGGGAGTCTCTGTGCCTACTTCTGAAAGAGCCAGTCTTGGTCCATTTAGCACAGAGCAACAGTCAATGTGAGGACTCTGGGTCCTCATTTTCCTCCACTGCCATTTTTATCATTTTAAATAGTTACTTATTCCTTCAGTGGGTTATTCAGGCATTTTAGATTTTCCAGTTGGTTTTAATCTACCAGAGACCAAACCCCAGAGCCAGCGTGGAATCAAATTCCCAGGGAGAATCACTGCAGGTCTCTCTGGAGTACAGAAGCCCTGGCAGTTAATCATCCTAAACCCACTGCTGGAGAGAGGTACCCAACATCTAAATAGCCTGAAGTCACCCAGATCTGGGAGGAAAGTAAATGACAAAATAACAAGCAAGCACGTGGATCACAGGGATTTATTTTATTTGACACAACTTCCAGGGGTCTAGAGTGTGGCAGTTTGCTAGTTAGAGGTGGTGATAATTGGTGGTTTTAAAGACTGCTGACATTCAGATATGCTTTCTTAATGGTAGAAGAGATTTTACACTATGTTCAGTGCATTGAAGGGGTATCAGGACAGCATTCGGAAGACCTGGGTTTTAGCCAGGCCTTTTTACTTATGAAACTTTTTGGCTAGTCATTTCCTTTTTAAAAAAATAAAATTGACACAGGGCACATATGCTTACTAGAGAGAGAGAGAGAAAGGCAAAGTGGGGAAGCACCCTAAAAAAGTGGGGCATGGTCATACAGCAATCCCTTTACCTCCATTTCTCCTTTCAGGATTCTGGGCATGTACAAGTGTGTTTCTCAAGCCGTTGGGTCAAGACTTGAACCACACTGTCAGCCACATTGGGATCTACCTGCCTGAACTACCACACCATGTGCTGGCCCTTTTTCTTTAAGCCTCAGTTTTCATAAACAGAAAGCAAAGATGATGGCACCTTCTGCTCTGGGTGCTAAGAGAATTGAAGAAAGTTCCATTCTGATCGAGGATACAAGAGTGTTACAAGCTATTTAGGGCTACATAGACCTAAGGTGTGTAGATCGCTATGTCACAATCCTCCTGTATTAGTCTCCCATGGAACTGGGATTACAGATTTACACTACTGTGCCAGCTTTGAGTCAAACCTGGGCCTACCGTTTGGCCACAGTCTCTGAGCAGCAGTGTCCAGCCCAAACACTGCTGATAGGCCCAAGATTTATTTTTAAGGTGTTATTGAATTTTAATTCTGAAAAACTAAGAGCCCAGGGGCCAGCAGGTGGCATGGTGGCTAAAGCACTAGACTCTCACACGGCCAACTGCAGTTCAAGTTCTAGACCTGTGGGTTGAAAAATTATGCTGGGTATGTGTGCATGAGTGCTCAAAATCCCAGGAGGAAAATGAAAGAGAAGAGATTGTGGCATGGCCATCCCCTCTTAGGGGTGATTTCTCACTTTCCCTCTCATTGTCTCTGTCTCTCTCCAGAGAGAACACATGCCCTATGGAAAAACCTTTAAAAAAAATTAAGAGCCCATATATACATTATAGACAGAAAATCTTAGTAGTTGCATTCAGCATGGAGGTTCAGGGTGATGACAGCCCTGCTCTGAGCCTGTTTTGTATCTCTCTTCCAAGGAAAATAAAACTGTGTACTCATTAACTCCTTCCTTGCAATAATCTTGTCAAGGAGATGGATTGGTAGAGAAAGCAAGAGAAACAGCTAATGAGTCTAGGATGGAAAAGAAGACAAGACCATTTTCAGATGTCCC